GCACTTCTCCAGCGCCTTCCCTAGACGCGTCGGCACGGGGGGAAGCTTCTCGAGTCTCTCCTCCTCCTCTTCCACCTCCTTCTCTGTCACCACCTTCTCCGCTGCGTCGTCGACGACGCGCGACTCCGGTGAGATCGTCACGCGCTTGCGAGCGCGTACGGCGGGCGTAGAATCGCGAGCGTCGGAAATCGTCCCGACGGCGTCGCCGCCCGGGTCCGGAGCGAGTTCCTTCGGTTCGGACGACGGCACGGCGGCTTCCTTTGCGGGAGAATCTTTCGCCTTGGTCTTCTTCTTCCTGACCACCGGCAGCGGCCCGTCACCTTCCACGGGCACCTTGCTGCGCAGGCGGCGCTTCTCGGTGGGCGTTGCCATGGCGATGCGGCAAAGCAGCGACAGAGACAGCGAGTAGCGCTCAGTGTTTTAGTATCGAAACGGCGGCGTCACGATTTTGAAAGTATCGAAGTACTCGCACCGTATCACTGTGCAAGGCGCTTGCAAAACCGCACAGGTTTTACGATTTCTGTTTATTGCCGAAGAAGACTTTATTCCATCCACGAGGAATCGGCACTATGACAAGGCACGAAAGCACTATATAACGCGCGAAATGCTAGGCACGATACTTAACGCAGCACGGTGAAAATCGCAAGTGAGCGCGCTGCTGCTGCTGCTTGCTAGGAGAGAATGCCGAGGAGATGAATCCGACCCAGCTCGACTGATACTATACACTGACACGCTGCTCTCTCACTCGCTTGCCAGCCGACAGCTACTGTTACGCGTAGGCCCATTTGGCAGAGGCGATCAAATGTACATGTAGCTCAAGGCTTCACATTTAGCATGTGCACAGGGTTCCCAGTGGGCCATCAGTTTCCTGTCTGCAAAGTGACTCACCGTCGAGTTATGTTGTTTTTCACCGCGATTTTTCCGCGACGGAGATGGGTGCGCGGAATCGGTTACATGAGCAAGGCAGAGCGCTTATTCTCAAAGTTTGCAAGATCTGAAAAAAAGCTACATAAACTTTGCGCAGCTTTTCTCTGCCTGACAACCGACTCGACTTATCCAGTGATAACACACTTCTAGGCACCTTCTGGAAAAGGGGCTAATTATATGTTTCTATTCTCAGGAGTTTTCACACATATATTTATGATAAATCTATACACAACTTATAACATAAAGGGTTAATCAAACAAATGATCCCCAGACCTAAACAAAGGTTCCCTGTCCCTTGAATACACAATCATCGTTAACTATACCTTCAAAAACAAAAACAACCTAGATTACTAGGCTACACTGCGCAAGATGAGAGTTGATGAACAATAGGTCATTTGCAATCATGTGGGCCAGGAAGCATGCTATCAGGAGTCTATCAATTGATCTATTGATAGACTCCTGATGCTATCTAAGTAAGCTCCCCTGTTTATGTGGACCCAAAAACATGGGGATCCGAACCTCGGCTAGGCGTGCCATGTTTTTTTTTTATAGCTGTAACCGCAGTAGCACACCCTGGGGACTAAAACATTTATTGACCGACTTTAGCATGCAAAAACTAATCCTACAAAAAATTTCGTTTTTTTTCCGAATCATCCATTATTTTTTGGATCATTTAGATGTGGCTCATGATTATAAACCCTAAACGCTTGGTAGCATTATAATATAGGTAGGTTTTCACCAAGTACAAGAGTGGAATTTAAATGCACTAGCTAAGGGTGTGTTTTTTCCTAAATATCACCAGGCGCTTGTAAAATATAACCGAGATAAGCCACTAGCTAGTACCTCTACACCTAGCTCTAGAACTATAGCCCTCCGCTCCTCCTCTCGACCTCCTGCGGCAGAGCGGAGGGCTATAGTTCTAGAGCTACTCTACACCCTATCTATTGAGTTAGTATAATAAATTGCATGAAATTGGCAAGTTTTTGAATTTAACCAATCTAAAAAAAGTAAATGTAACGTCCACAATGTGAGAAGATCCAATAGGTTAACAATGTTAACCTATTGGTTCTTCTCACATTGTGGACGAAGAGTAACCACCAGTAGACTACTTCAGTGAACAAAGATGCCATTTAACACGTACCAAACACAAGCACTACATATTTTGATATGGTTATTAATTATACACACAATGACAGCATTTTTCACAATATAAACGACCTTACCTCATGGCTCTTGTTACCATGTTTGAAACAGGTTTCCTACCTTATGATATTTTCAACACCATACAAATGTATTAAACACACCACTAACCCTTATTAACTACTTCTGTAAAAATATTTTTTCCATCCCTTTTATGAACAAAACAAACACGGTAATAATATTCATGAATTTTGAAGAGTACATAATAGTGTTTTACGAGAGGTAAAATTGCAGTTCTGCAAAACACGTTTTGCACGGGCCCAAGACGGGCCTTATATGTTTTGCACGCTTTTTACCAGTATATCGAATGATTCTAAACTTTGCTGCATATTACTCATACTGTTAGCATTTTCATCAACTTTTTTTAAAGCAGTCACAAAGGAGGTTAACAGGATACATTAAGGGATAGTTAAAGAATAGTTAAAGGGATACGTTACTGTAGGTTCATTGGACATTTTCAGTTAATATAGGTTAAATGTACGCTACATAAAAAGTTTTAAGGTTCAATATTCAAAAGAAATATTTTAAAACAAGAGCAATCGGAGATAGCAAACCTCCGCCACAGCGTAACAGTCCCCCCCCCATCTTGCTGGTACACCCAATATCATTGTTTCTACTCTCTATGACTATTGTTGTTTGACTCTGCATTGACACCATGCACGGCGCATATATCTATATATAGCTATCGATCTAATTTGTAGCCGGGTTTACGTGGCGGTGACACATCATAAATCCCAACAGAGAGAGAAAGCGAAAGTGAAACAAAGCGAAGCGATTAGAAGTAAACCGCTACACTACGATCAATGATGAGAAATCCTGAGAAATGATGAGAAATCCAAAAAATTCCTGGATCCAGATCTGGATCCAGATCACCACCAAAACCTAATCGATTGGTTGTTGGCCCAAGACCAACCCTGTCCAAAAAATGTCATCAAAATTCGTCCGTAACTTTTTGAGATATCCTGTTGACAGACAAACCAAACAAGAGCCGCAGAGCTTCTGGGCTCATCTGAGGTCTGTTGCTACGGTTATAAACGTAACATTTAAGTCGTGCGTAGTGACACCTTTGTTAGGCGCAGATATGCAGATACGCAGTTGCGTACACATCATTTCAGCAACTTTCTGCATTCCGCATACCTCCCAAATCCCATTGGTTGATACAAATCGCGTGCCTGAAACTCCTGTTTTATGGTGCATTGTGAGCCTATCCCTAATGCTAGCCGCACACTATTTGACCCGAGCGCGATCGGGAGGCTTACGATTGGATCGGGAGGCTCAAGTTTGGCTCGGGAGGCTTAAGTTTGGCTCGGGAGGTTATTTTGGCCCGATTCGAATTTTGAATCGGGAGCGGATAGTGTGCGAAGGCTTACGACGCGACTCGGATAGTGTGCGTGGCCATCCAACCCGATCGGTGAGCGCTGAAGAAAATTTACCAATCACAGAGCAGCGCCATGGGAACCGCATTCGGCAAAAATGGCGGGAAAACACTCCCGACCCTTAGTACACGCTAAATCCGCTTGGAATGCCACGAGAGTGCCATGGTTTGCGCCAACTTTGAGTCGGACAGTGTTCTCCGATCGATCGGGAGTGGGTTGTATAGTGTGCGGGGCTACAGTGCTGTGCAGAGTGCAAAATCTGATAGTGTGCGGCTAGCGCAGCGGCTCGAAATTAACCGATCGGCACCGACTGGCAATTGCCGTTGGGGTGGCCCCATGATCCAATCGCCGTACCTGCCCCTGAATAGATCGGCAACCCGACCGACGGCAGTCACCTGCCTTGCCCTTTTGTGTAATTGCCGTCCGGCCCTTTAATCTACTGCGCTCTAGTTTCGTTTTTAGTCGAGTCAACATAACACGTGCGCGGTGCGTGCTGTAGTTGCAATGATTGAGGCTTAAAACGCGATAGTCGCAGGAGGGAATAATAACAGCATACGGATAATTGTTCGCTCCTGATAGCGGGCATGTAAAATGCTCTTGTTACTGTACTTCCATTAGCGGCGGGGGGGGGTATACAGGGGTCGGTGTTACGCGTAAACCTTACATGGGGGCATATTGTTTTGTACATTAAAAGCAAGACGATGTTGATGTAATAATTTGTTATGAGTTTTCTCGTTTATTTTCCAAAAGTCGCTGTTGTCCTTCTCAAATTTTAGATGTTGCCTTGGTGCTTTTTAAAATTGCCTCTGTGGCCTTCCATTTAGAGAAAATTCAATGGCAATTTCTCACATGCCCTAAAAAAATTGGCTTTGCCCTTCTCATCACTTAATTCGACCCGGCGGCTAGCATAACCCTATTAAAAAAAAAAAATTTATTGTTGTATTACAATTGGTGTAAATAAATCATGTAAATATTTGCGTTAATTGCGAAAAATAAGTTAACACTGACGATAAAGATAGAAAAATACAAAGAAACAGGTAAATAATAAAAAAACTGATTTGGGATTCGAGTCCCAAAGACGCTTTGACGCATAATCCTGTGCTGTAACCGCGTTGGGCTATCCAGGCACAGTAGTCTTTCTAGATTATGGATGTGCATGAATATAGGAACACGTGTGACATCATTGAGGCAGTCGTCTCAGGAATCCATGTTTAAGCCCTCCTCTTGAGGGTAATAGGTTCACTACAGATTCACTTTACTCTTCGCCACGTCCA